TCTCTCTCTCTCTCTCGCTCTCTGTCGCTCCCTGTCTTCCTGTCCTTTAGCCGTGGCTTGCAGCCCAGGGCACGGGTCAGACTGCCGGCTCCTGCGTGGGCCCCCAGAGCACAGAAAGAGTCTTGGGCTTAGGAGTCAGGGCCATTTCAAGGGTTTACGTAGGGTTTAGGGTTTGGGGTTTAGGGCTTCGGGTTTAGAGTGGGGTTTAGGGTTTGGGGTTTAGGGCTTCGGGTTTAGAGTGGGGTTGAAGGTTTGGGGTTTAGGGCGTAGGGTTTAGAGTGGGGTTGAAGGTTTGGGGTTTAGGGCTTAGGGTTTGCGTGGGGTTTAGGGTTTGGGGTTTAGGGCTTAGGATTTACGTGGGGTATCGGGCTTGGAGTTTAGGGCTGAGGGTTTACGCGGGGTCTAGGGTTTGGGGTTTAGGGCTTAGGGTTTAGGAGTCAGGGTCCTTTGTTGTAAGACGAGGAATGAAGAGGGGGTTTAGGGTTCAGGGTGTTGTTGTTGTTGTTGGGGAAGTGTTGGGGTTGGGGGCTTAGGGCCTACTGTCTGGGAGTTGCTGGTTCAGGGTTGCTACAGCTGCCAGGTGGGATCTAGCGGTCTAGGATTAACTCACTGAACAACAAAGGCGAGTGGACAGAGCCACACGGTTTACCCTAAACCCTAAACCCTAAAACTCTAAACCCTATTAGGGTTTAGGGCGTGGGACTGCCGGGACGTGATGTAATCGCAACCTCCGGCATCGACACACCAGCCGTTACAGTCGCGCTCTCAGGGTTTAGGGTTGAGGGAGCTGCAACTACAACGGCACAGAACAATACAAGGGCACGGCGATCATCGTAGGATCAGACACTGCATTTTCCTGAGCAAGTGCGGCTCCATTGAAAAGGGATTCGACGTCTTGCAAGTCATTGTGAGTTGATTCTGTCGGTGCCTTGGTCTCTCTTGGCCTAGCGAGCTGTGTTCAGACTTTTGGCCAGCCATGCTCCAGCATGCTAGTGCCTGCCAGCACACTGAGCATCGCCAACGCCTCGCAAGCAATAAAAAGCGCAAACCCTGAAGTCCAACCCTAAACCCTGAACGACCCTAAACTCCTAAACCATGGCACCCATCGCGGCGAGGCCTGGCAAGCAGCATAAGCTTTCTGACCCAGGTCTGCTATCAGAGACCTCGAGAAGACGGGTCCCCCAAAGCGTCCCACGCCGTTCGAAATGAGGCCATTGATGAGCATGACATTGTTGGCGTCCAGAATAGACCCGTCAGGAAAAACGTTGCTATTTAGAATGCCCATGTTTAGTGCTCCGGCGAGGTAAGTGGTCGGGAAGATGATCGAGTCAGCGGCGAGAATCGTCTGGGGATGCATCGCAGTGCCTCGACATATCGGCTTCATTGCTGTTGGACCCCCAAATTCCCTGCTACCCACTCGTGATATGGGGACGATAAGACTTTAAAGGGAGCTGTTTCTAATTCTTCCGACCCCAAAAATAGGAGAAACTCGACGTCCCCGCCTAGCAGCACGGTCGCCACTATGCCTAGGGTCGTGTAGATCTTCATCAGCGGGAGGTCTCTGACTGCTTCATGATACTGCCGGTGCAACATGTACACCGGCACGACCAGGCAGAAAGTCACACCGATGCAAAAGCCGATACTGTCATTGCCCCATGCGAACTTCTCCTGCAGAGACACGAACTGCGAATGAGCCAAAGCCCTAAAACCCCAAAGCCGAAGCCCTAAGACCCTAAACCCTAAAACCCTAAACCCTAAACCCTAAACCCTAAACCCTAAACCCTAAACCCGAACAGAACCCGCCCCAAACTCTCTCCTGCAGAAGCAGACACGTCGCTGACTCGACACCCGAAACGATGAAGGCTCTAAGCGCGTCCATGACAAGGCCTGGTTTAGGTTTTAGGGTTTAGG